TTCAAGAGCTTCTTGAAGTGGTCGGCCCATTGTTTCCTTTGTTTCTCTTCTTTCGTAATTAAATTTCCTTCTTCATCTTTTATTGGTTTCATCTGTGTTGATCTCTCCCCAGACAGCAAGCAACCTGGTTATTTGATACAATGTTGTCAGGTCTCTATCTCTCCTACCAACAGCCTGTTCTGCTTCACTTGCCAGTGTTTCGTAGGAGTGTCTTTTGTCTTTGCATGCACTCTTCTTCACTTCTTTGTCCAGTGTAGTGTTTTATACATTGTACTCAGTTCCTCATATCGTTGAGCATCCCTGCACTGGTTCATCTTCTGCTTCACCATCCTCCTCTCCTCTATCAGCTTCCAGGTATCCGTCGAGATCCATTTCTTGTCTTCTTTCTTCTTCCTTCCTAATACTGTTGTGCAGGTTTCTTTCCACATAACTTTCAAAGACTTTCAGTGCTCTTCCACACAGGTTTCTTCGGGAATGTTCCTCGATATCTCCCATTTTGTCTTGATGGCTGCCGTGAAGATGTCCTTTGTAGTTTTGTCCTTCAGTTTCCTAGTTTTGTACTTGTACTGCGGTCTATCACCAGCTTCCTTGAAGGCTTTTAACTTGATTTGGAAGGTAGGTTCCTTGCACTAGATAGTGGTCTGAACCTACATCTGCTCCTCTTCTTGACCTTGTGTTAAGTAGACTGCGTCTCCATTTTCTTGAGATTGAGATGAAGTCAATCTGATTTTTAGTGTGTCCTGGTGTCTGGGGAAGTCCTTGTCGCTCCCTTGTGAATATCCTTGTGTTTGTGCACACTGCCTCCAATCACCAAATCGTTGAATGCACAGAATTCTGCAAACAATTCTCCGTTCTCATTTATTTCACCTAGCGCTTCTCGACCTATAGTTAGTTCTCTTCCTGTGTTGTCCCCTCCCATTTTGGCATTCATGTCGCCCATTAGAATTTTGATATTGCCAACTAAGGTCTTGTCCAGTGTTGATTCAAGTTGTCTATAGAAATCCTCCTTTTTCTCTTGCTCTGCATTATTTGTAGGCGCATAACATTGTATGATTGTGACCTTTCTTCCTTTTGAGTTGAATCTTGCTGTCATGATCCTGGAGGAGATTGGTTCCCACTGCATGAGAGCCTTCGATGCTCTTGAGGACATCATGATAGCCACTCCAATACTCAGTGTGCTCGTGGTTGGCGTCTGGGTGACCGGAGTAGATTATTGATTCTCCAGTTGACAGTTTGGAAAGTCCACTCCCATTTCATCTGCTTTCGCAAATTCCTACCACTTCGATGTGATACCTTCTCATCTCCTTTGCAATCTGGGCTGCCTTGCTGGGTTCAAACATGGTGTAGACATTCCATGTCCTCATGTTTACTTTCGCTTTCATCGAGGAAGAGAAGACACATCGGCCAACAATTGGCTTCCCGAAGGCTTTCACCAACTGGCGTCATTTCGCCTCTCCGATTCCAGCGAGGAATAAGTTTGTTTTCATTTTTTATATTTTGTTTGTGCATTGAAGTTTCTTTAGCGGTTAGATTTGTTTTCCGGGGTAGGGTTGCTCTCCCTATGCCCAACCTTTCCTCTTTACCTGGGCTTAGGACCGGCAGGTAACTAGTGATCTGGTTAACCATGATTACTCCTCACTATATATGTAAAATTTCAAATAGAAATTCTATTGGCGTATTTCAGACTTTAGTAGTGAATATTTTAGTTTAAAATTAACTTTGATTGGGATATCAGCACTAAAGAACGGTGTACTATGAAAATAATTTTGTTTGGTTCCGAGTGAGAAACTAATCTAAAAGAAATACCAATTGTCCTGAATTCCATGTTTAGATCCATTTACCAGTTACCATGTAGAACCAAGTATTTCCTTGAGAACTTTTACTCTCATCATTCAGTACAAACCAGTCTATCAGAAAACGGTTAGCACCTCTCTTGAAGAGGGTTACGTTTGTTGTTTTTTTCCCACTAAATAACATATATAGCTAAGTAAACATCAACATTACATGATCAGCCAAGTTGGTATACGTTTAAACAGCAGTTTAAACCAACATTGCATTATCTATGTAATGCTTGTGCAGTTTCCAAATGCATGGAACAATACTGAAATAAGAAAGACTATTCAACTCGTGAAGCCCACCCATTGCAAATGAGATGAAAGTTACTTCTTTGCAAACTTGAAAAAAAATGTAGTCAGGAGTTTCAATTTTTGATATGAAATGAGTCATTTATGTGTATGCTGTTGTTGCATACTCAAACACTAGAAAAAGTAACGCATTTGTCTTAGCCTAAATAGTTTTGGGTACCAGTTATCGATCAATCATTCTGTGGAACAGTAGGCAGAGTTTTTCATTGAATAAACATGTAAATTCTGAGCAACATTCATAGTATTATTTGTATATAAACTAGTGATAGCCTAGATAAACACTTATTATGACAAAATTATATTTGTCAGTTTATCCATCGCCGACTACAGGTGCTACTTGTTTATGATTAGTGAACTTTTTTTAGACAACTTAAGGAATTATAGAACACTTTCCAGCATGGTGTATAAAAGATGTCTTAACCTTCAAAGTAATCATTATTTTCAGGGATTTCTATGCTTGTATATCAGGCGAAGCTCTTCTGTATATATAGCAAATATTGGAAGTCAACGAAGAAAAAAATTACTGTAAATGTTTTAAAAACATGACGTTCTAGTATGCATATAAAAATATCACATGCACTACATATAGAAAGTGAGTTTAAGGTAGGTCATTTCAACCCACCAAGTTCACTGTCCATTAAAGACCAGTTGCTAAAGTGTTGATTAATAACTAGGTAATCGTTAGTTCACCTGATATGATCCTATGAGAGACTGGTGTGGTCTTTATGGCACACTTATGACTTCAGTGACTACAACACTTAACAAGTGCCATGACGACTTTCTAAGGGCATAAATTTCATCAATATTCTACACCTACGTTACTGGCAAAGTGTCAACAAATACGAAATATACGTATAGAGTTCCTTATTAAATTAAAGTTAGCTATTCTACTGTATAATTCTTATTCGTCTGACTTCATGGTCACATTGCCCACCTGATAACAATAGTTTATTGGGCATTGAGGAGTAAACGGGGTGATACATGTTAATTCCATTCACTGACTGAGGATTGTGGGTGACATCTGTCTAGGAAAATGACTTTCAAATGTGAGAAAGACAAATAATTCCAAATATTTTAAATCAAAACACAAAATTGGAAGTCGTAATTTTCTCAAATGTCACACATTATGATCTCGAGGCTATCAATTAGAAAGTACTGATAGATATCTTCTTCATATATCAAGTTACCAACTGTGGATTTGCTGAAGTGTAGTACTGCTTTCTCACCGAAGTACTAATATACTTGCCACTTTTGAGCTTTTGATCGATTTATGAAAAAGCTCAAATGTTGTACAGGAATAAATCTATGTCAACTTAACAACCACAGTCTGCGTATCCAATCGTAGAAGTTATGGAAAAGCTAATCAGTGCTTCAATTTGGATTTTTGCCTCCCATGTTTTTATTCTTGTCTGCTTTGGATCGTCACTCTACAACACTCCCCTTAAATATTTAATTTAATACAGAGAATCAAGAGGAAAACCTTGTTCATCATGGTAAATCACCCTGGATTGTTGGTGAGGTACTCTATAGATTGATCTACAAGGAAATAGTACGAAACAAAAATCTTTCTGTTTATTTGAAATGGTATCAGAAGTTTCTCTACTTACATATTAACCCTTAAAGAAGATTTTAAACCCTATGGGTCCAGAAATAAAACAATATGAAGGTTAAGCGAATGTAGGTGCCTGTTTTTTATTGTAAGATACAGATTTTTGTGTGACACACAAATCATGAATGGTAAAAATGAAATTTATTAAATGTAAGTGGAATAAGGCAGAAAGAATCAGTCTTCACAGTTTTTCTGTTTAGCTATCAAAACGCAAATATATGCATGTAGTTTTTAAACAGTACTGAATTATGAGTTAAGCGGTTTAGTATTGAGGCATTTGTTGTCAATCTGGAATCTGAAATCAGTGTGTACAAGTTTATTCACCTCTACTTTTTATTTAAGTACACATTCCATTCAAAAGTCCTGTATTTAATGAATCTTAAATTAGAATTTTAAAAATAAATTCCGGTCTATTCATTTACCACAAGAGAGGCGTTCAATAACCTGAAACCAGTGTGGAGATATGCTGCACTCAGCATCAAGCGTGAACAACATCCCAATTTTTAACACCAATGTCAGTCAAGTCAGTCAGTGCTTCTATGTGATGCTTCACAGACTTGACGCCTTACGGAAAGCATTTCCAACAAACTTCAGATATTCATTCATCAACAAATGCCTACACTGGCTCCTTACTGAAGCTCAGATGACCAGAATAACAAGAATAAGCAGAAGGAACTCTGGCTGACTGGCTGGCTGGCCAGAATTGGCAACGAACCAATCAACAACAACCTATCACTCAACAAATATGCACTGGAACGAAGTGCAGAGATGGATTGGAATGGGCATGCACTGAGAAGACCATTCGGGGACATCACGTGCCAGTCTAGGTCGTCGAGTGGAAGCCAGATGGAAAACGACGAGTTGGGCGTCCGTGGTGAGGGTGACATGGAGGAGATGTTGTGAGGAAGAAATGAGAGCTTGTTGGCAGTGGTGGAGCCAGGTTGAAAATATTTCAGTGAAGAGAGTGGAATGTAGGCGTGCTACTGAAGCCTTATATCTTCCACTAGGATTCAAGGGACAAATAATAATAATAATAATAATAATAATAATAATAGTTACCACACTTTCCGAATTATGCGACAAACATTAAAAGTACATAAGTACAATAAGCCAATTATAAAGTTTGCTTATTTGCCTTAAGTTTACAGAAAAACGTTAATGAATCAATCTCTTGTTTTAAACAAGTAAACTTAATCAGTTTACCATAGATAAAATGTTCAGTAATGTAAACTCTGTAATCTGCTTACCGCTTTACCTCCTCTATTCACTAAAGAAGGTCCTATTAAGTTATGTCGTTGTCCACTTGTCATGATTCACGATGTATTCGTCTTTGCTAACAAAACTGACTGGTGATAATCGGTAGCGGTTAATAAATACTCGTATTCATTCAAATATATACTTATTAGCAGTAATTTATCAAGTGTCGAATTCTTATTGGTAGTTTGTTAAGGTCATTTATGATTGGTAAATCTATTGTATCAACTTAAAATCATGAAGGTAGATAGTGCAAAATGATGCCAACGTATACACTATCTGATCTCTTGAATAAGAAATTACTAACAAAATGTTTGCTCAAGCTATGCAAATATATCTAAACAGAGTTTCTCAGAAAAAAACTATCAGAATGCTGTAGAAGACGGTAGAAATTAATCGAAAGGGACCGTTGCACCCAGAATTCATCTATATCATATTTTTAATATCCATTACCCTATTATCACTCAGGTCTCATTGTCAGGGAGTAACCAGTGTCAAATGAACCCCTGAATGTTAAAAGAAAAAGTATTACTCTTACTCTTGACAACTGTCACTGTCATTCTGCTGAAGCCTAATGAGGCTAATAAAAACACTGAATTCTACTTTAACAAACGATACAATCAAAACCATTATTTTGTTGTATTACGGATTGCACAATATAGTCTCCTAACTGATAGCTGCTACCTTGACGTGGTGGTCGAGCTTGGACATCACGATAACAAGACGAGCCAAGCCGGTGGAACGCATGTTCCTTAGAGATCTTACCACACCAAGTTAGTCTTTTGGGTAGTAACAAGACAAAAAGCGGTTACCGTCAAATTGTGAGTTTCTACGCTATGATAGGTAGGACAAGGGGGGAATTCGTACTATTGGCTAGACAGGAGTGTGACATCAGCAAGTTATTTACCGTGAATGACTAGCACTACCTCATTGATGCTGCCTTATCTATGGAAAATAGGGCGGAAAGTCAATCCTAAATATATCACACTCTTCTCTAAGCTACGGCATGTCAATGCTAGCAGCATGGGTTGATACTTAGATTTAAAACCAACAAAGTTATATCTCAAACTTCTAAAAAGGCAGCGTGTGACCAGCCTTAAGCAGATGCTTCATGGGACTTGCCGTTACATAATAAACCCCCTTTTTTAGATACGTCAACAGGAACTAACTTTCAACAGTATAGGCAGCAAAGAAGTATCAACACCCAACAGGCTTGAAGCAGAATACAAACGATAGAATTATTTTATTCTTTGTTTTCCGTTACTCTGGAATTTTTTCATAAATCTTGAAAAAGCTGTTGATTTATTCTTATTGCATACCCTGGCTGTTGAATCGATGACTTGATAATTATTCTCTCCTCCTTCTCGCCTGACTATATTGTCTTTTGAGATTGTTGCATGGTTGTGGAACACAGCGCGCATTGCAACAGTTGAGCTTTTCACATACCAACCATCTCAACGAAATCTGTCCTTCTAAACTTTGCTAACTTCTTACACTGATCTGTGTTCTGGATTCCATGATTATTGCATTGTATGAGGTAGATCTAACTCTTTTGTTTAAGGGATTTAACAGAATGCTTAAGCGGATTAGGCTTATCGTAATCCTAACTTTGCTTAAAGTTAAGCGTAAACTTTTTGATATTACTTCCCTATATGAAGATACAGTAGATGGCTTAAACTTCTATTTAAAGTAAAGGACTGATTGAACAAAGAGGTGGTTTTTTATTAGGTCTTCGTTGTCCAGTCGGACGATGAAACACAGTATGTACAGAAAACCAAAATCGAGTGATGAGAACACCCAACTCTCTTAGTTTGTGCGCACCAACTATAAACTAAACCTGGTGAAATGCTTAGTTCATTGTACCAACGTCATTACTCTGATGACACCTTAGAAGAGGAGCTTGGTATCATACATAGCCTACCAAATTGGTGACCAAGCAAATGAGTGAGGAGAAAACTAATCCAAAGAAACCTTTTTTCTTGAATTCAAAGGTGACATTCCTGGCAAGTTTACAGCACAAACTTTAAAAAAGCTTGTAGGATAAACTTTAACCTTACCTTCTGCACTTGGTCAATTGTAGGTGAAGGGTGGGAAGAGACTGTGATTCTGCCTGTTCTATGTACGTTTATCAGGTTAACTTCTTCTGTGAAGCAAGTTACATAAGGTATATAGGTAGGGAAGTTCATCATAGAATATCTCAACGCCATCCAACACAGTCGAATAAAGGTTAAATAAAAGCAATTTAAAGCTCACACGGTGTAGATACTGGTCATGAAATTAAAGCAAGCAAGGTTAGTACCTTATTTACTGTATACTTTCTAGTCTTCTTGTGGTTTAGATATTCACCTACTACAAACCTGTACAAATGATAACTTTATATTCAAAAAAACAACTATCATTGCCTTGGAAATCAAGAAAAAATAACTAGCTTCAGTCTGTGTTACTTTTTTGTCTAGTGGACTAAAACTGTTTGCACAGGACCCTCTACCGAGTTAACCCCATAGTGTCTGTCTCTTGATTTTTCTTACGTAACCCTTTTAGTGTTAGTACATACATGCTTTTCCTTACACTGTTATTTGTTAAGCAGTCAGTGAATTAACCACCTAATTAGCTTTCTTATTCATTCCTATCAATCCTTTTTATTACCCCATTCGTCAATTCCTACCTTCTTTCTCTAATGAATAGCTTTTTAAGTAACTTAGGGCTGATAATTACTTCAGCTAATTGACCCACCATTACAAAAAGGCATTATGTTACTAAATGTGACATAACGTGCTGGTCACTGAGCCTGAAGGTCCTGGTTTCCGTCTCTGGTGGGGTCAGAGGTACGCACTGCTGAAGAGTTCCAAAACACCTGTTTGGTACCCCCAAGTTTCCAATGTTCCTCTAGATGATGTCAGGCCATCATGAATATCAACTTGAAATCAATGAATCGTCGGAAACCCACAAACTGAATTGAGCTCATTGTGAACTAAAGAACCTGTTCAAGTTCGCTGGATATATTTGTGTATGATAGAGTCTGAAGCCACCATCTGCTTCTTGTTTTCATCTGAGTCTCAGCATGGTGTATTCCAGGTTTTCATTTTCTAACCCATAATTATACTGGAATGCATCTGTTACTGAATTCACGCGCATGAAGAAATCCCTGGTAAATTCTTCCTTCAGTAAAGTTAATTTGTTTTCCACATTTCTTTACCATTTTTCAGTAGTATGATTAAACATCCTTAAAAACCTGTATTCCTAACTTTTGATAAATACATACGCTACGAATGAGGAAATTGTTGATCCTGTCTTGCTTTTTCTGTTTGTTTACATACTTCGTCCGGAAACTTGAAGACTGTGGAGGTTAGAGACCACTGTACACACAATACTGTCTTTACAACAGATGCTTCATTTCTGTGAAAAATTTCTATCAAAATATTAAGCTCAATTCTGACTACCTCCAGTACCATAGTGATTGATATCTTAGTGCAAAGGCTAAACTTTTTCAGCGTCTAAATGCAGAATGTCAAGCCATAGTTTCAATTTATATGAATTGATTAGTTTAAAACTTACGCAACTTGCAATACGACATCATTTCAACCCTAACCATTTAGATAGCTCATAATTTGCACATATCTGAAGTTAATTATTGATCTTTTTAGAGAAACTAGCTCTATAAACCTACATTCTACTGGGATTACTCTTCTTTAAGGTTTTTAAGTAAACTTTGTAGACTTCCCCTAAGGCAGCTGCATTTGATATATCCTACGGATTATATATTTCTGGATCATATTCATGGTAGTATCTACGGATTTCTTAATCTCTTCTTGTGGTCCTGCTTGCTTATATCTGTTCGCTTTATTGCCTTATCCATAAATGTTGCTGAATTATCTTTATCAGATTTGGTGATCGCTGTGTTAACATAATTTTTTGAATTATTCTAAGGTAATATAATTGCTTGTATTATACCGTCGTTGATTGGACCGAATTCATCGCCTTCTATTGGCATATCAGCTCCTGTGCGGATGCCTCTATATTGTCTGTGTTTTTTTAATTATATATAGTAATGATGGATAGTGGCTAGCAGTAGAATCTAAGATGCGCATTTCGTCCTATTTGCCAATATGCCCATAGAGACCGATCAGTTCAGTCCCAGTAAACTAAAACTATACCCGTCTCACAGGAAATGACTGCTGTGTCTGGGTGTTGTAGACGACTACGTCCTGGCGTTTGGGGAGATCGTTCCCAAGCCCCAGTCCCGGTGTGGATATCATCTCTCACCGGGGGGCAGGTAAATACAGCTGACGGGTTCCAAATAACATTGAGCGCACACCGTAGGTCCCACAGTTAGCCGCCATCCATCACTACTATATTCCAAGGTAGTTTTTCCGGTTTTGCCTAGCTCTGTTTCGTCTTCTTTCGTTTCTTCAGTACTTGTAGAGTTTGTACTTGATACTGTTCATGATTTGTCTTATTGACTTAGCCTAATTCTATCTGTTTGCTGAGGAAGAAACCTGTGCTTATGTTTAGTCTTTTATCGGGTTCAGATAAGCTCAAAGTTCTCTACTAAACACTGATCATCTATTGTTTTTGTTTAGAGTCAATTTTGTTTCATTCATAGGGGCATTTTTTTCCCATAGAGGTTCTCTTCTTTCATACATTTATGAGTACTTGTAATTTTCCATTGTTACACAAAACTGAAACGATAAATCTATTTTGATATATTATGATCCCAAATAAGATGAATCGGATATCATGGGTTTAAGTGTTAGTGACCTCCAAAGAAACTATTTCATTAACTTGTTATGCTTTTTAATCCAAGTGTTTCTGGATTTCTGGTTAACCTCCCTTTGCAATATGCTCCGATTTCAAGTTCATCACCTTTGTTTTTACCTCACTTTAAAGTCTGCAGCAACGCTGTGGATACATTGACATTGACAGAGATTAACTAAAATGCAAACTTATTTGTTAGTACTCAGGTCAATTTAATTTAGTGGAGAAGGGAACAGAGTAATTACTAAGTCATTGTTCACCTATTTAACAGTCAATACATACAATGGAAATGAAGTAACAGCCTTGAAAGAGATGTGAAAAATTGTACAGGTACAGAAAACAAAGAATGAAATCATTCA